GGTGCGAAGGGAAGGGAAATCCCGGCCCCAGCCCCTGGCATGTGCGTGTGGGGAAGACAGCGGTTAGCTGAGGGACCCGGAGCCCCAGTCTGGGCTTCTCAGTGGGGCAGGAGATTGGGGAGGTGGCTTGGGGGAATGAAGAGGGTTGGAGAAGGCAGGCCAGGTAGGCCACCTTGCTCCCCCGGGGGGGGGAGGAGGAGGAGGAGAGTCGGGGGGGAGCAAAAGCCACCGAGGAAACCCTCTTCTTCCTCCTGGGGGTTGTCCCCCTCCAGGCCTCCGGCTGCCCACCAGCAGCGCCGACACGCGCTTTGACACGGACGAGGGGAAGGGCGAGGAGGAGGAGGAGGAGGCCGAGCGCTGCTGCCCCTGCCAGAGCCCCGTCGGGCAGACCCTGCCCGGGGCGGAAACCATCTCCTTCCAGAAGAAGTTCGAAAACTTCCTCCACAACTCCATCATCATGCCCAGGTGAGGGCAGCTCTGACCGTGGAAAGGCTACTTCCCGGGATGATGATGATGGCTCCCTTCCCTCCCCCCCTGCCCCCCCCGGGAACCCGGCGCCCGGGGGGGGGGGTGGGAAAGGACCCCCCCCCCCAGGCTCTGCATCAGGACCCCCCCCCCGAGGGCCTGGCCGCAGCCCTCTTGAGCATCCGTCACCTTCGCAGCCGCGTGCCGGGCGGAATCCCCCTTTGCCAAACTAGCGAGGCGTCCCGTGGAACCGAGGCCTCTCAACCGGCAGGCAGGAAAAGCTTAGCCTTGGCTCCCACCCCCCCAAGTGACCCCCTCCCCAAAACCTCCAGGCTGGTTCTGGCCATGGAGCTCCAAGAGCAGGTGGGGAAAGGGGACCGACCCCCACGTTGGCAGGACGAGCCGCTCCTTTCTCTCTGCCGGTGTCTTTCAGGCCCCCCTGGAAAGTCACGTCCATCAACAAGAGCTCCTACCGGTGAGCTGCTCCCCCCTCCCGGGACTCGACCCCCTCCCGTCGGCGTCTCTGGGGCTCGGCTGCGTTCACGCCCTCAGCTCGGCGGCCCTTCTCTCTGGGACCGTGAAGCTTGCTCCCCACCTGTACCCTGGAGGAGGCCCTTGGGTTGGATCCCTGGTCACTAGGGACTCGCTTTCCCTTCGCCTTCCTCTCCTTCTCCACTCTGAATGTGCTCAGAGGAAACGGTGGGGGTTGCGCCAGAGACGGTGGCAGCTGCGAGGCTGTGCCGCTGGGCTGGGGGCCTGAGGGTGGCCTTTCAGCCCGGCCGTGCTTCTCCCTTTCCTTCCCCCCCCCCCCCCCCCGGCTTTGTGCGACAGGATCCCCAAGAGGCGGAGGGACACCTTTGCAGCCGGCCACGTGGGCCACGCGTTCATCAACATGTCCTCGTCTCTGGAGGCCCAGCGGAGCCGACAAGCCCCCGGCCGCCCAGAGCCGGATTTCCGGCTGTTTGAGGACAAGGTGGTGAGGGAGCGAACCGCCCTGCCGAACCTGCGCCACTTCACCGAGTACCGGATCGACATCCACGCCTGCAACCACGCCGCCCAGACGGTCGGGTGCAGCGCGGCCACCTTTGTCTTCGCCAGGACCATGCCGGAGCGTAAGGGCCGGGAGAGGCATGCGCGCGCGTGCATGGGGGGGGCACGCAGGCACAGAGCAGGGGAAGGGAGATGGGCTCAGAAGAGGGGGCCTCGGCCTCTGGGGGTCAGAGCCTCAGTTCCAGCCACTGACCCGCAAGGGCCTTCTGCAGCCCCGAGCCCCACGGGCCCTTTCCCGAAAGGAGGGCAAG